GCGGCCAGCAGGGCCAGAAGCTCCGGCAGCACGGCGCGCAGGCTTGGGGGCACCCTCCTCCCTCCTCCCTCCTCCTTCCTATATCCTGCTCCCTCCTGCTCCTCCTCCCTCATCCCTCCGCCTGCTCCTCCTCCCTCCTCCTCCTCCTCCCTTCTCCTCCCTCCTCCCTCCTCCCCCCTCCTCCTTCTCCTCCTTCTGCTCCTCCTCCCCCCTCTCCCTCCTCCCCCCTCATCCCTCCTCCTGCTCCTCCTTCCTCCTCCTCCTCCTCCTCCTCCCTCCTCCTCCCCTTCTCCCTTCTCCTCCCTCCTCTTCCCTCCTACCTTCTCCTTCTCCTTCCTCCTCCCTTCTCCTCCTCCTCCTTCCTCCTCCCTTCTCCTCCTCCTCCGTCCTCGTTTACCTCCTCCTCCTCCTCCTCCCTCCTTCTCCTCCTCGACCTGTAGCTGGCGCTCCTCCTTTTTCCTCCTCCCTCCTCATTCCTCCTCCCGCCTTCCTCCCCTCTTCTCCTTCGTTCCTCCTCCTCCTCCTCCTTTTCCCTCTTCCTCTGTATCGGGATCGCCCGTGCCGCGCGCCCAGGGACCGAACTGCCGACGGGCAGGGTGGCGGAAGGCCCACATGACTAGCTGTAGTTACGGGATTAGTTAAGGTTGACGGGCCTCGCGATCGACGCCCTGCCTCTTCCTCCTCCCTCCTCCTCCTCCTCCTCCTTCCTCCTCTTCCTCCTCTTCCTCCTCCCCCTCCTCCCTCCTCCTCCTCCTCCTACTCCTCCTCCCTCCTTCCTCCTCCTTCCTCCCCCCCTGCCTCCCTTCTCCCTCCTTCAGCTCCTTGCCCCGTTCTCCTGCCGCCGTTCTCCTTCCTCCATCCTCCGTTGTTTTCCTCCCCGTCCTCGTCGTCGTCGTCGTCGTCGTCCGGATCCCTCCTTCTCCTCCTCCTCCTTCTCTTCCTCCTCATCCGTCCAACATCCTCTTCGTTATGCCCCTGATAGGTGAGAGTTCTTGGGCAGGATGGTGGCCAGAGGCTCACTCGATGTCTTGTCGATCTCTGTGGACTAGCTTCGTCGAGGAGGCCTTTGGAGGTTTTCGGTTTAGTTGGTCGTTTCCTTGGTCGTAGGTTTCGTTCATGGCTATGTGGTTTAGTTGGTCGTTTTGTTGTTGCTGCTTCTGGGGTATTGCAGTCCGTGATGTTCAAATCTATGTTCGAGTCATGCTGAAGGCTTTCGAACGTACTCTTGGTTCCAAGGGTCATATGGGAGGTGTACGAAGATTATTCGGAAGACGGGTAGCTGTCTACAGGTATGACTGTCTCATAATTTCTAACAGTGGGATAACTACATCCCTGGGAAAGGATTTTTTTGTTTATCGCGGGTTTTCTCAATATTGGGCTGGCCTCCGGCCAGTGCCGCCGATCCGGGGGGGTGAGAGCGAGATGATGATGGGGATCCTGGGGACGTCTTGGAGGCTTCTGGAGCCGTCTTGGGGGCATCTTGGGCAGCTTGGAGCGATGTTTCGGCGAGTCGGGGCCCTCTTGGACCGTCTAGGGGGCCTCTTGGACCTCTCTTGGCTTTTTCTTGGGCCGTCTTGTGCGGTCTGGGCTCTGGACTTGGGTCGTCTTGTGGCGCTCCTGGGCCGTCTTGGGCCCTTCGGGGGCCGTCTTGGAGCCCTCTTGGGGGCCTGTTGGCGTGTCTTAGGGGGCTCTGGGGCCGTCTTGGACATTGTGAAGGCCCAAGAAACGAATATGCAGAAAATATTCGTTTTCCCAAGGGAATGGGTCTATTTGTCAGTCTTTGGGCATTCTTGGGAAGTGTCGTGAGGGATCCTGGGGACGTCTTGGAGGTTTCTGGAACTGTCTTCGGGGCATCTTGGGCGGTTCGAGCGATGTTTCGGCGATTCGGGGCCCTCTTGCATTGTCTAGGGGGCCTTTGTGGGCCTCTCTTGGCTTCCTCTAGTGCTATCTTGGGCGGTCGGGGCTCCAGAAGTGGAGTTTTCCATACCCCCCTGTCTTGGGGTACCGAAAAACGTTGGAAATGTTGTCGGAAATATCCCCGTGTACCGAAAAACGTCGGAAATGAAGTCGGAAATAACGTGTCCCCCCCCCCCCTGCAGAGCGAAGCTTGAGCGAGCTCAAGTCCACGCTCTCAGAAATTCACACGCCGGATCGGCGGACGAATATGCCGAACATATACGTTTTCCCAAGGGAATGGGTCTATTTGTCAGTCTTTGGGCATTCTTGGGAAGTGTCGTGAGGGATCCTGGGGGCGTCTTGGAGGTTTCTGGAACTGTCTTCGGGGCATCTTGGGCGGTTCGAGCGATGTTTCGGCGATTCGGGGCCCTCTTGCATTGTCTAGGGGGCCTTTGTGGGCCTCTCTTGGCTTCCTCTAGTGCTATCTTGGGCGGTCGGGGCTCCAGAAGTGGAGTTTTCCATACCCCCCTGTCTTGGGGTACCGAAAAACGTTGGAAATGTTGTCGGAAATATCCCCGTGTACCGAAAAACGTCGGAAATGAAGTCGGAAATAACGTGTCCCCCCCCCCCCTGCAGAGCGAAGCTTGAGCGAGCTCAAGTCCACGCTCTCAGAAATTCACACGCCGGATCGGCGGACGAATATGCCGAACATATACGTTTTCCCAAGGGAATGGGTCTATTTGTCAGTTGTAGCTCCAAACGAGCAGCCTCACTGCGCGCTGTCTCGTGAGAGTGCTGGGAGGGTTCCCGGCGCAGACGATGTGCATATTGCCGGTGACCACGTGCACTCTGTCATGACCGCTTGTCTCCTCATCGAACCGTGCGATCACAGCATCCACCTGGCGTCCGATGTGGACGTGGTAGATATGCGTGTCCCCGTGCAGAGACACGACGGCAGGCTGAGAAGCACCGCCGAAACCCCACAGGCTCAAGTAGTTGTCGACCTCGGCGAAGCGAGCGCTGTCGCCGAACGGCTTGGTGAGGATGTCTTGCACGTTGATTATTGCTTTCCTCAGGCCTTGGCGAAACGCGCCGACCTCACACGCAAACGATAGGTCAGCATCAGCGTCTTCGACGATCGTGGCGCACACGCGCCCGAAGTTGGAGCAGTGAGTGATGCACTTCTTCCCGGACATCGCCGCTTGTTCGAATCCGAAATTAAAGGAGGCGGCCGTGAAACAAGCAGGCTGAGGAGCACCGCTTGCAGGCGCGGCCGCAGGCGCGCCTCGGTCTTCCTCCGCAGGCTGAGAAGCACCGCGAGAAGCCGAGGCTGCGGACGAGCCTCGCGGCACAAGGAGAGCCATTGCAATGTAGATCGCGCAGGAACGGCCAAAAGGGATGCACATCCTGAACCAAAGACGGCTGTCACCTGCAGGGAGGGACGGTCAGCGAAGGCGAAAGTGCCGATACCGGTCGTCGTTTTGGAGAGCCCTCGTCGCCACGGCTGAATTCGTCTTGAAATTCTGGTCATTCCCCGGCGGTATCGGTACATATTTTTTCGTCCCTGAGAGAGGGGACCCAGAAATCCGATGTCATGAAATAGAACGTGGCGGGAATGGAGTTCTGGAAAGTCGAAGACCACGAAGTGGCCTACAGTTGGCTCCGGGCATCTAAAATGTGGCCCGGGAATGGAGTCCTGGGAACTCGAAGACCACGAAGTGGCCTACAGTTGGCTCCGGGCATCCAAAATGTACGCCGGGACCGAAGCTCTGGGAAGTCGAAGAGCACGAAGTGGTTTACAGTTGGCTCTGGGCATCCAAAATGTACGCCGGGAATGGAGTTCTAGCAGCGCCAAGAGCGATTTTGCGAGGATGTCCCAAGCGATTTGGGCTTCGGCGGCAGCCGCCCCGGGTCCCGCCCCGACCCCCCTGAGGAGTCATGATGCTTTCTTTTGACACCGCTAGAAACCTATCAGTCTTCGCTGTTAGGTAATATCCCCACCAGCCGTTCTGCCCGCGGCTTGTTACAGTGTGTTGCTGTCCGTCTTGGCCTCGCTTATGGCTGCGGTTCGGCTGGAGCTTGGCGCCGCAAGGGCGACTTCTCCTCCCGGTCCCTTTGCCGCCTCGTTGCCGCGCTTTTTGCTTCCCCACCAGCCGGGCTGGCTGGGCCGGTCACCAGCAGACGCTGAAATCCGTCTCAATGAGGGGCTTTGTCCCTGGCATGTGCGCGTGCCGCTGCGAGTGTCGTCCGCTGGAATCCGCGGCAATCTCGCGCCAATTAATGACGTACCGCGCCCCGGACGTTGTGCTCGCTCCCTGTCTCTCGCCTTGGAGCCGCGGACCCAAAAAACATATCCCCACCAGCGCAACGCTTCGCGTATCCCCAGGAGTGCTGCCTAGTCGCGGCCCGGCTAGTGTTTGGACTGCTTTCGACCTGCTTCGCGAGCCCGAAGACCAAAAAAGTATCCCCACCAGCCCATCCCGACACCAGCAGAGGCTTTCTGAAGGCCTCTTGGGGGCTATCCTAAGCCATGTTCAGCTATCTTGGACCATCTGGAAGCTGTCTTCGATCTAGGCCCGAGCCGACCCAGAGGCCAACGCCAAGTGGTTTCGGACCTCTCGATGCTGGAGCCTCTTGGAGCCCGTGGGCGGGGTCGCGTGGGGAGCGTCCTCGTCCGGCGTCCCTCCGCAGCCCTTCGCGTGGGAGCAGTTCGCTCACGTGCAGCCGGCCCTGATCGGTAGGTCGACCGTGCCGAATCGAGGGTACAGTCAACGCGCCTAGCAAGGACGCGCGCCTTCATCTAGGGTGCCCTTGTGTCCTTGCCTCGGCGGCCCGTCCTTTGTCGTTTTCACTGGTCGCCCGTCGCCCAACAAAACCCAGTTTCGGCCTCGAAGGGTCTTGCGTCCTTGCCACCCGTCCTTAATACAGGTTTTGACTGTACCCTTGAGTCCTGTGTCCTCTCGGGTGTCCTGTCCATTCAAGTCCGACTGCAGTCCGCTGGGGCCTCATTCCCCCAAGCATCGTCTGGGTCTCGGACACTGGGGCGCCAGTTTCTAGGATCTGGTCAGACCCCACGCTCCTCACCGTCCGTGATTATCATCCTTAAGTGCCCGTTTGGTCTCAAGATTCTTTAGTCCAGGCTAATCTCTCCGAGCTAGCAGCGTATAGCTGCCGATACCGAATAGCAGCGTCGTGCAGCTGCATCTTCAACCATACACGTTCCAAGCTATGTTTGGAATGCTGACGCATCTGTGCGCACTGGGGCTTGTAGGTGCTTGCGCACGGCACGTAGACCCGCAGCTCATGCAGATGCAAACGGCCGTTCTCCTGCATGGCAGTGGGATCCGGCAGGGATGCCAGACCTCAACCAAGGGCGACGCGTGTTACGAGAAGGTGGAGTGGGCGATGCGGGTGGGCATCCAAGACCATCCAGAGTGGTATCTTCCCCTGACGAGTAATTCCAGCTTCGAGGATTTCCAGCAGCACTTGCACAGCGTGCCCAGGCTCTCTGATGTGTGCCCCAAGCCGTGCTCTTGGCGGTCCGCGGACCAGCCTCGGACAAGCTCTGGATCTTCGACGCCTGCAGTTCAACCTATTGGAACTCCGATGCCTACAGCGCAGCAGGCTGGAACTCCAATGCCAACAGAAATCCACGAGGATGACCTACTTACATCGGCCTACCCTGGATACGAGCAGACCGGTCGTAATTGCAGGTGTGGAGCCCCAATCAGACAGTTGTCAGAGGGGTTCGCATCTCTCGAGTTGTGTGCCTCGGAGTGCTCGTTGTTACCCACCTGCAAGGCCATCAGTCTTCACCCTTGGCAGTCTATCTGGAGAGGCCAATGCGATTTGTACGATGCGCCGTGTGAGGAAACGAATGGGCATGACTCCAACACCACCTGTGCCGACCCAACCCCAGAAGGAGCTCTGACTGTCAACTTTAACCGGATCCCGACGCCCGCGCCCACACCTGCACCCACGCCAGCTCCAGATCCTTGCGATGTCACGGACGGATCGTTTCTGAGTTCGTTCTACCCTTGTCAGTGCGGGCCTGAAGTGTGTGTAGCAAGCGAGGTCTGCTCGGCTAGTTCGTGCGCTCCTCCGAACATCCTCAAGGTAGAATGGCCGTGCCTGACGACTTCGATCGGAAGCCCCTACTTCGTGCTCTCGGGGAGCAGCGCAAACGGTTCGCCAGTGTACGGCAACACCGATGGCAATTACATGTATTGGGACGTGTCGTGTGATGGTATCGAGCGACCTTTGAAATATCAGCAGCCGCGATGGATTCTCGACTCGGACTCACCAAACATGTCAGCGGCAATGGATTTAGATTCTGATTCGACGTGTTCTTATTTTGGGCATCACGATAGTTTTGACTTGCATGGTGTCCCTCTGGGGAGCACAACGTGGACGGTGGCATGCGACGGTGGAGTTTCCAACATGACAGTGAACATCACTTACGAAGCGTATCTTCCCACACCATCGCCGACGATGGAACCTGGGGCACCGTGCACTTGCGGCCCGAACGCGTGTGGCATTTTTCCCTATATTGACCTAGATGGCGATGGCTGCCTAGTGGAGGAGGAAGTGGACAAAGTGGAGACGCTCTGCGGGCACTTTACCGAGATAGACGCGGACGGGGACGGCTGCGTTACCCAGGCAGAATGCGGGGACTCGCCGTACTCGAATGACCTGCCGGGCTTCCCAATCCAGGGCCCAGCTGAGTGCGACTACGGATATTACTTCGTGGACGGCACCAGCGTCTGCCAGCAGTGCACCACCGGTTCCTGTCGGCGGCGCCGCTCGGAGGCCTGTAGCGACTGCCCCTCGGGCAAAGAGGACCTGGGCGACTTCGATAGCTGCATCGGGGGTGTGTGGCTTACTGAATCCATCACAGTTGGGTCCGACCTTGTCTTCGTCAACAAGGACCTCGACGAGAGCGGGGTCCTGCTGCAGAGGGGCGATGGGATCACCATGTCGACGCGCAACCCTGGCCACTTCGAGAGAATGGTCATCCTCGACAAGGTTGGTTTTGATGATGACCAGAGGTTGTCGTCATACCATGAGTCTTTGCTCCGCAAGAGCGGGCCCTTCTTCGTGCTGGACCACGGGGTGCACGCACCGTTCAGCATGTACGACGCGGTCATCTCTGCCTGCACAATGGTCAATGGAATCTCGCTTAGCGGGCAGTACCCGTGCGGATGCGGCACGGATATTTGCGATTTCGGGTACAGGTGTGACGAGCAGTGCAGCGGGAACAACACGGCAATCGATTCCTACGTGGGCAGCAGCTTCGGGGACGGCGGATGCTGCATCGGCCCCGCTGTCTCTCCCCTGCCCACCCCGGCCCCGACGGTGTCGGCCAAGGGCGACCCGCACTTGGTCAACCTTCAAGGCGAGCATTTCGACGTCAACCACGGCGGCGAGTTCACTTTGCTTCGCATCCCGCAGGCCGCCGACAGTACCGCCGAGATGCAGCTTCAGGCAACCATCCGCCCCGAGCACGGGAAGCCATGCACCACGTACATCACCGCGGTGGAGCTCTCGGGCGCATGGATCGGTGGCGTGGTCGTGCAGGTGCGCTCCTACTTGAGATCGCACACCAAGAATGAAAGCGACAAGTTCTTGGGGCTCCGAGTGCTGGAGCCAGGTGCGCCAGAAGATGTTCCATGGACGAGGCTCGCGGATTGGACCGATGGGAACATCGTTCTCTCCAAGCAGCAGACAAGCGGCGATGTCAGGGTGGCCATGTCCAAGGCACAGTGGCGCACCCGGAAGGGCGTGAAGGAAGGCTTGCCGACCGTGGCCGGGCAGCTCCAGGTGACGATGCAGAGCAGGGGAGGCAGAGATTCCGCGATGATCGTCGTCCGCCAAGATCTTCCCATGCAGGAGCACCTGAATTTGGCTGTGCGGCGCTTGAGCGCACTCGGTCGTGCTGACATTGGCGGGCTTCTTGGATTCGATGCGCATGCCGCGTCCCTAGAGGATGTCACCCCGGAGTGCCAGCGTCACAGGGATGGGTTGGACACGAAGAAAGGTCCTCACTCAACGCCAGGCTGGAAGATTCGCTGGCAGAGGATCAAGGAGCGGCGCGCGAGCAAGTCCGTGACGGGTGGGTCAATGAACGACAACGAGGCAGCTGCCGGATTCATGGAGAAGATGCCCATGAACGGGAATGACATGATGTGCGTCTGCTCCAGCAGAGAGCCCAGGCACTTCACAGAGGACGACTACACCGCGAACCTGATAGGTGGAGAAGGCCAGGGCGTCCTTGCAAAGTTCCAGACTGGCAGGCTTGCGGAGGCAACGTGGGACTGATGACCACGCGTCGAATTGGCCCGCCCGATCGCCAGCATACCCGTGCAGCAGCCTTGGCCGTGTCTGCCGCACCTACATGGCGGATTGGCTCCCACGTCGAAGTCGAGAAGCCTGCGGGGTCGCCGATTGGGCGTTCCGCAGGCCTCGCCACGCCGATGCAGCTCGTGAGGGGCGGCGGGGGATCGATCAGAGGCTACGGTGGGGCTAGGCGGAGGTGGAGGAGGGAGAGCCGCCATCTTTTCATGATCAATAGTTAAAGTTCAGAATAAGGACCCGCGACTTTCCTTCGTACCCTTGCGTCCTTGCCTCTTCGGCCCGTCTTTCACCGTTTTCGCTGGCCAGCCCCTCAGGGTACCCTTGGGGCGGGCGGCGTGCTTCGGCTGCGCGGCGGAGCGCTCCTCTGGGGTGTTGGCAGCCCGCCGCCCAACAAAGTGCCAACTTCGGCGTCCACGGCCCTTGCGTCCTTATCGCCCGTCCTTATCGTAGACTTTGACTGTAGTGCACGAAGGCGCACGTCTAGCCTTTGATCTTGTTGAGTGGTTTCTCCCGGTCTTCGTGAGGATGCCCTTGCAAAGTTCCAGACTGGTCGGCTTGTGGTGGAGGCAGTTTGAGCAGCAGTCTTGATCTATTGCGCCTAGAGGGTGCACGATCTCGCACGCCATTTCGAAGTTCGCGTGGCCTCTGGCCAGGGTCTTTGCAAGCAGCGATGCTTCGATGCAGTTCGTTACAGACGGCGGATATTGGTCAGGGGTTACTGGGGGAGAGGAGGAGGCGGAGGTGGAGGAGGAAGTGCCATCTTTTCACGCTTCCATCACGTCGTAGCATGCTTCTTTGGCTTTTGATCCGTCGAGCCCTCTCCGGTTTGCTGTTGCTTGCTCGATTCCCTTGGCTTTACAGTGTGTTTAATAACACGCTTTTGTGCCATGCGTGCACGCGGGCAGCGCGAGCAGCACGTCGCTTGGACGTGTTTGTTCCCTGGACTGCCGCGGTGCTCACTCGACTGGCTGCCTTGGGTCAGTTCCACAAAGACATAGTCACCGTCTTCACTCCCCGTCATCGTTGTGACCCGAGGTGCTCGGCGCGCGTCGCTGCCGTCTTGGCGGTCGACGCGAGAACAGGCCGCATTCCGCCTGGAGTTCCAAACGGCGATCTGGGGCTCAGAAGTCGGGTGACGAACCCGACACCTATCCACTGCCCCCTGGCCGGACCCTTGGTGTGCCCAGGAGCTGTGTCTACGCCAGCCTGGCCAAGCCAGGAGGGCGTGGCGTACACACCGCTGCCGGGTTCAGGATGGGCCTGGCCAGGGGGCAGCGGACATGTACGGATTTCGTCGCCCTGAGAATCGTGGGCCCTCTTGATGGCCTCGGGGGCCGCCTTGGGGCCGAGGGGCTGAGTGTGCCAAAGTTGCCCGACAATTTGCAGTGCTTCGTTGATTTGGGTCTCTTGGGCCGGCCCCGACAGCCTCCCAAACCATCCCAAGATGCACCCAAGAGGGTCCGGGACAGGCTATGCGGCCATCTTAGACCATGTTGGACTTATGGGCTTCCAGTTACGCTCCTAAGGCCTCTTGAAAAGTGATACGAGCCGCCCCCAAGGTCCTGCTATTATTGTTAAGTCGGGCGTGCCCCTCTACAGGGGGAACATTCAAAAATAGTTCAATGATAGTCGGGGGACGATTTTTTGGACTATTTGAGTATTTGGGAGGCATTTTGTGAGTATTTTTTTTCGCCCAACATCCCCCTGTAGGGGGTGTTGGGCGAAATCTGTGCACCCCAAAGAGTAGCCAGTTCTCAATGCAGAGGGTTCCAAGGGACCTGATGACACGCGACTCTGTGCCTCGGGGCACGGTGGCTGATATGTGGACCCCGTTCAAGTACGATTCTACGTGTACCAGCTGGGGGCTCCCGTCCAATACGTGCGCACGCGTGAATTCCAGACGCTTCGCGTTACCCCACTAGCCCATGCAGAAACGATGCCCGGGCGAGGCGCCCAGGGGGCCTCTTGGAGCGTCTTGGGTGCCTCGGGGATCCTCCTGAGGCGTCTTGGGGGTCTCTAGGGAGCCTCTTGGAGGCCTCCTGGGCGCTTCTTGGGGCCCTCTTGAGGCGCTCTTGGGTGCCTTGAGAGCGCTCTTCGGGCCATCTTCGAGGAGATCGATCAAAAAAGATGGGAGCTCCAATTCGCCTCCCCCCTCGGGAGCCCCCCAAATCGCCTCTTGGGCCCCCCTTGGGTCGCTCTTGGAGCGCTCTTGGGCGCTCTTGGGGCCGTCTTGGGGCTCTCTTGGGTCCCTCTTGGGGCCCTCTTGGGCCCTCGAGGCCTTGGAAGGCCATCGAAAGCAAAAAGGCGAGAAGGTACAATTCATTGATTTCCTTAGGTTCTTGAAGGACTTTGGCATCTTGGCGGCCTCCTGGGGGCGCTCCGTGGCCACTCGGAGCCGTCTTGGAGCGGTCTCGGGGCCTCTTGGAGCATTTTGGGAGCCATCTTGGGGTATCTTGGGCCATCTTGAGCCATCTTGAAGGTCACACGGGGTTACATGAGGCCCTCTTGGAGCCATCGTGGGCTATCTTGGACGCTCCAACTACCCGCGACCAGCCCCCTCCAGGTCCTGGGGAGGGGGTAGGGGAAAGGGGTAGCCCCCTCCCCGAAGGGAAGTGGTGGGTTGGAAGAGGAGCTGCCCTAGACCACCTACTCCCAGAGGGCTGGTGGGACTCAGGCTTCTAGAAACTTGTGGCCTTCGGCCGAACCCGCCGCTGTGCCTGGGTTTGGGGCCCGAGTCCTCTTGGATGCCTGTTGGGATCTTTTGGGAGGCCTCTCGAGAGCCTCTTGGAGGCATTTTTGAGGCCTCTTGGGGACCGTTCTGGGGCCTCTGCTGGGCCTCTTGGCGGCTTCTTGGGGCCTCTAGGGTGTTTCTTGGGCGTCAGCTGGCCGTCTCAGGGCGTCTTGGAGGCCTCTTGGGCCGTCTGGAGGCCAGCTTGGCCGTCTTGGACCAATCGTTTGGCGACTTGGAGCCCTCTGTACCATCTGACAGGCCTCTTGGGACCCTCATGTTGATTGCTTTCATCCGTGTTCAAGAGTTCTGCCCTGACATGATTCGCAGAGAATTGTTTTTGGATGGGTGTCGGCGTGCGGGCGCACATGTCCGCGTGTGGCCCGCATAGTACTACTTGAAAGAGCTGGAACATGTTTTCTACATGCGCGCGCGCGTGTGTGGCACGCATGGACATAATGGCACAACCCGTATGGTTGTCTCAGGATTTCAGCAAGTGCGCGCGGTCAGACATGAGGCATTTTTGTTGAACAGAGCAGTGTTGCTTCAAATTAGTTGAACAGCTATGTCTTGAAATATTTGAGAGAGCGTGATCCACCGCCGCTTTACTGTGGAAAATTGCCAACCGTTTCCTCCGGAACCCGGGGGTCTCCCCCCCCCCTCCGAAAATCCCCCCCCCTGCTGGAACCCCTCCTCCCCCCCCCCCCCCTCCTCCCGCAAAACCTCCCCCCTCCTTAACCCCTCCCCCCCCCCCCTCCCCCTCGAAAACCGGGGGGGGTCACTACCGGTTCGAACCCCTCCCCCCCCCCTCCCCCTCCGGATCGGAAAACCGGGGGGGGGTCACTACCGGTTCGAACCCCCCCCCCCCCCCTCGAAAACCGGAGGGGGTCACTACCGGTTCGACCCCCCCCCCCCACGCACCGCCAGCAAACGACTCCCGGTCCCTACCACCGCTCGCATGACATCCCCCACTGTTGTTCCCAGCACCACTGTCCTCACCACCACTGTCCCCACTGGTTCCACCACCGTCCCTATTGTCCCCACCAGTGCCCCCACCACTGTCGCACTGTCCCCACTGTTCCCACAACTGTTCCCACCACGGTTCCACTCTCCCCACTGTCTCCACGGACCCAACCACTGCCTATCCCCACTGTCCCCACTGTCCCACTGACTCCTCCGCTGTCCCACTGAGCTGTCCCACTGTTCCCACCACTGTCCCCACTGTCCCCACCACTGTCCCCACTGTACCTCTGTCCCATTGTCCCACCGCCGTCCTCGCCGACGCCTTTACCAGTGTCCCCACCACCATTGTACCCTCCACTGTCCCAGTGTTTCCACCTCATTCCCACTGTCCCCACACCACTGTCCCCACCACCACCGTTCCCACCACTGTCCACTGTCCCCCCTGTTCCCACCATTGTCCCCACCACTGTCCCCACCACTACCGTCCCCACCGCTGTCCCACTGTCCCCGCACTGTCCCCACCACTGTCCCGCTGTCCCCTCACCACTGTCCCCACCAACACCGTCCCCACCACTGTCCGCACCCCCACTCGGTTTTCGAGGGGGGGGGGGGGTTCGAACCGGTAGTGACCCCCCCCCTTTTCATGATGAGCTGGGGGGGGGGGAGGGGTTCGAACCGGTAGTGACCCCCCCCGGTTTTCCGGAGGGGGGGGGGGGGGAGGGGTTCGAACCGGTAGTGACCCCCCCCTGTTTTCCGCCAGCAGCGGTAGAACACGCTCTTTCAAATATTTCGATCACCAATGGCTTCGTAATGATTTTGACATGCGAGCGCGGCTGCGCGCGAATGAGGCCCGCATGTTACTCCTCTGCACACAAAGCGCACTTGTTAGATCAACTCGCGTGCACTGCATTTTGCTTGGCATGGGGGGACGGGGGTGTCGATACTGACCTGGCCTTGGGCCTGGCTGGCATGCTATCATCTCCAGGCCTTCGGCCCATCCCGGCACCGTGCCTGGCCCTCGGACAGGAGGCCTCCCAGAGCCCGATTCGTGTGTTTTGGGAGGCATCTTGAAGGTCTCTTGGGGCCTCGAGGAGGGTTTCTCGGGGGCCTCTTGGCGGTATCCGGGGTAATCTTGAGGGTGAAGGGCATGTATTGGGGCCGTCTGGAGGATTTCTTGGGCTCTTTTGGTGGCCTCGGGGGCCGTCCTGGGGCCGAGAGGCAGAGTGTGCCAAAGTCACGCGACGACTTACAGTGCTTCAGCGATTTCGGTCTCTTGGGCCTGCTCCGAGAGCCTCTCAACCCATCCCAAGATGCACCGGGGCACGGTGGCGGATATGTGTACCCCGTTCAAGTACGATTCTGTGTGTACCAGCTGGGGGCTCCAGTGGAACTCGCGTCCCGGCTTCAGCAAGTCAATTGTAGAGCGGGGAAGGCGGATTGACCATGTACGATGGACATCTACGTGGGCCCAGACACCTTCCGATGCACCTGGTGGTTCCCAGCCGCGATCGTGGACCATCCAGCTCTCCTGACGCAACGTCCTTCGGGAGCACTGTCCTCTTGTGTTCTGACGCATTCGGTTCAGAGGTTTCATTCATCGCGTCTGGGTGTGATGGGTTGCGGGTAAAACAAGCATAGACGTGGCCCCAGAAAGTAGCTTTGCGGTTGAAACGGGCTGGCCTGAGATGGTTGATTGACACTCTCCGTGCCACCCCCCTCGTGGCATCGCCCACGCGGGGATCAGGTGCGTGGAGGGCGGTCCCTGGCAGCAGGCCCGTCGCTGCCCTGCAGAGAGTGTGTCTCGCGGCGGTTAGCTGCACCCCCCTCATGCGCAGTTGTTCTCGGCGTGCAGCTGCTACCGTGTCACTTGGATGTCCAATCATAGATGGTGCTCTCGTAGGCACACTCTGCTGGCTCACACTTTGAAGCGGCATCGCACTCGTGGGGAGCAGGTGCGAGGAGGATGGTCTCTGGCAGCAGGCCCGTTGCTGCCCTGCGTCGCGGCCTGCGGGAGGGACGCCTCCGGGCCCACCGGCCCTGGACGCACTCAATCGTGGTCCACATGTGCCGGCGCACTGCATATTCGGACCGCAATTTCGTGACACGCCAACCCCCTCATCGGATGCTCTTTGCGAGTTGCTACCTTGGTATGTGTTCGACGTCTGTTTCGTTCAGAACTTCTACTTCTTCATCTTGGCTGTTGTCTCCGTGCTGCGTGGGTGGCTATACCGTCGACCTTAGTATTTTTCTCCTCTGTCTGCGTGCTGCGCGTGTGGCTATACCGTGGACAGTCTGGA